TAGTAAGTCTCAGAAGATTTGCATCCCACAGGCTAGTATTTAGTATCAGCAGGCAAGTTGACTTGCTCCTTTATTCCTGATCTGGAATCCCTAAAGAACCTCTCAATTCATGAATGTGCTGTGAAACCATTTTTAAAATATTTTACGTAGCTAATGTCATTCTTATGATTATCAGAATTATCACATTGAAAAGCTCATGCAGAAATGAACACATGTAATTGGAGCAAGACTTCAGTGTTGTGCAGTAAATAAATGCAGAGGGAGAGGGTCTGTCAGATGGGAGAAGCCAGAACAATGTCTCCTTTGGCCGGCTCTGTGCAGTCTGGGACCATTTGGAACTGGAAACAGCACTGTGTTATCTTCTGTTTGAAGACAGCTCCATAAAGCAAGTATGGATTGAACTAAGGTTGTGCAGGCCATAAAATCTTGTCAAAGTAGAAGCCTCAACAATAAAATATCCAGATCACTCAGTGTTCATGAGTGCATAACAAATTTCAGGTGCAATAAACTGCTGCAGAATCAAGCATCCCAAAGGTTAGCAAGATAACCAGTATGGCAGCATCCAAGGATTAAAATGATTAATTCAGTGAGTAAATGTTGGCTTTTGTGAAAACAATTATCTGCATTTATCCAGTGCCTTATGAAGGATAAATAAACCTTTTTCCTAGAACAGGGGAACAGTATATGGAAAATTTTTTAAATGTTATCGTCTAAGTGCTTTGAAATATATTAATGGTCACCATGCATTTCAAGCATGGTTTTGTTTTCCCATCTCTTTTCCTCGGTGCTTAAAGGTGGAAAGAAGGGCACTGTGGTAAACCTGCCCTTTTCTTCTGATCATTTTTCCTTCTGAAAACCTGTAGCAGCATTGGTACATGCTTTTTTTGAGACATTCCTTCATATTTCATATCCTGTTGAATGAGTTGTAAAATGAGATGCTAAAGATACTATTTTAAAGTTAATAGGATAGTGAAAATCAACTCTGTAGTTGTTGACAAAAGCTTAACAAACCAGGTAACCTGTTCCAGGCCTCAGATTGCTATTTTTTAAGAAAATAAACAGTTCAACCTTACGGATGCACTGCACAGTTTGTTAGTTATTAATAAACCAAGATTTTTGGCTTTAAGATAACTGTGTTTTGGATATATGTATGCATTAAATACTAAGTCAAGAGAAGCAAATTTGTGTGTTACTTCTAGATACTTTCTTACATTTCAAAAAGAGAGCAACTTCAACTATTTATAAACTGTAATTAAGTTTCTTTACAGCATGACTCATTCTCAACAAGCAAGTCCTTTTTCTTTTGCTTTCTTATGAGCTGTGTGGGAAAATTAGGGTTCAATCAGTGAAGAATTTGCTCAATGCTTAATTACCCATAAACAGCCCTCCAAGTTCTGCTCGTGTAGTGCTTGCATAAAGACATTATTTTCCCCACTCTATGGCTGTCTAAAAGTTGACTTTTAAAAAAATTATCTGTAAATTGTAATGTAGAAGAAAGCAATGTTTTACTGGATTCTTTCTCCAGTCTGCTTCTTTCAGTTCCTCTTACATGAACAGTTTGATGCTTAGGAGAGCCAAAGTAAGAAATCATCAGATTTAAATTACTTAGAGCATGGAACTAAATTAGAAAGCTTTACTTTCCTGAATGAGCTAATTGTTTAAATTTTCCAAAGGAAATGTTTCTATTTCTGCGAGAGAAGGGGTAAATGGGACTTCCTCTGACATAATTTTCATTTTAAATCTTGAGTTTGACAGCAGCATTTTTACCTTTATAACCAAATATTACTGCTTAACTGCATGACATGTATAAGCTTGCTAGCTGAAGTGACTCACTTACGCAGATGAAGTTATTTTTAGGGAGATAATTTGCACTGTTTAGAAGAGAGGAAAAAAGGGAGAGAGAGTCCTACTAAGAGCTAGATCTCTCATTATAGTTTACAGAGCTCATGAACCCAGCATCCAAGCAAAAGATGACTAAGCAAGGGGTCTATTGGTACTTTCAGGAATTTACAGACATGAGTCATCTGCTTATTTTCTGCAGACATATCACCAGGGTACTTTGTGAGTCAGCTGTTATTTGGGAATAGTACTTGTATTCAACATGAATACGTTTTTGTAGTTCTTAGGTAACTAGCATGCCAAACCAACACAGGCTTTTACAGTTTGCCTAGTTCGGGTGTTAATTTACAAAACTGATGTGTTGTTCTTAACTGTGATGCATTTTTCATGGCAAAGTGTGAATGTTGTCTTGCATGTAATTACAGTAACACCTTTGTCACCTTAGATACTGCATGCAAGCAGATCTGATTTTGTATTAATGTACAGATTGAGAATCAGACTACCTACACATGACCAGGTAAAAAGAAAAATTTTCTTTATTAAGCCATGTGGGATTATGAGCAGAATTTGACCTTTCATGTCCAACACACCTTGCCAGCATTAATTACCAGTGGCATTTGCTTCTTTTTTTCATTCTGTGCACCAACAGTGTCAATGCACTGGGACAGAAGCATGTTCTTGCCTTCCTTTCCTATTGCTGAGGTAATAGCTGACTACCTTGAGATATGTATAACACTTTAAACTCAAGGCTATTTCCTGTTTACTGGCCTTTTAGGTGTGGTTGTGTTCCAGAATTAGGGACAGGTTTTTTTACTTGGTCTGGACTCATCCACACCTTGTATTAAGGAAACACTTCGGTTAGAAAACTGGAAGTTTGACGATTTCAGGTGAAGGGTATTATTATAAATCAAAGGCAGTTTAAATTTTTCAAAACTCTTCTTGCAGTTCAGGGTAATACTGCTGCTGTCCAGATGTGGGATGCAGAATTTTTAATCTAGTTTGATTATCTGATTTATGTGATCAGTTTATAATATAACTAATTCCTGAAAATTCCTATACAGATTTTGGTTAATAGAATATATTTTGGTGGTACCTTCTCATAACAAATGCAGGTGTCACTCTAGTGAGAGCACTGCCTTGATTATCCATTTTAAACAGCATTTCTAGTGCTAGGTACTTTGCCCTGAGAGCCTACCTTTAGTTGTAGGTAACAGGGGAAAAATACTATTGCTTCTTGCGTGTGTTATGGCAGTTTTGAAGGGAAAATTAATGGAAGTTAGAAAATCTCAACCAAAAAGTCAGTACAAAGACTAAATTATTTGAATGCTTTGCTAAAGTTTGTTATTGCTCTCTCACGAATAAAATAAGTGATAAAATATATAAGTATACAGGCTTGGTTTCTCTTAAGGAGTTGGTACTTAAGAATGAAAAGGATACACTAGAGAAACAGTTTAAGCACTCAGAGCTGAAGTATTTTAAGATTAAAATAGAGAATCAGTCTTCTTGATTCTTTACCCTTTTCCATGGTGTAGTCCTTCAGAGACTGAGGCTCACACATCACTTGTGAGGCGAGGAGACGGCGTGCTTGCTGATAAACGTCCAGGTTACACCAATGTTTTTCAGGGTTGTTATTTAGCAATCACATTATAAAGAGGAATTCGGCAGAGCAATCTTTGAATCTAACCTTTGTTAAAGCAGTGATCTGCCCTCAAATTAGCAGAACTCTGCCCATGTCATTAGTGCTGAAATATGTGCTGGAAGCTGCTGCGTGGGCTGAGTCACCCGGACTCGGGAGCTGTCACGTGTGGCTCAGACACTGGGTCATGAACTGAGCCAAAGCTGTCCTCCACGGGAGGATTTGGTGTATTTTGGGACTGTGGCTGGAATAGCACGTTTGATTTAGTGTGCTTCATGGCTATAAATGCTTTTATTCCTAGAGCTTGGAGGGTTCTTTAGAGAAAAGGGAGATACGGTGTAGCTGATGCACTTCTGAGTATTTAGATGTGATTAGATAAAGTGAGAAATGACAGAGCTATCAGGATGATAGCATGCAATTTGGAAAATAAAACCTGTCTTACACTGACTCTTCACTCTGTTAACAGGAAGCGCTAGAATCTCTGGACGTATTTAAAATACAATTCCATTGCAGTGTTCTTTCACTGTACAGAATATAAAAAATGTGATTTGGAGGATATCAAAAATTATGATTTTAGGTGCTTTATAAATTAAGCCTACACCTTTAAAAGAAATTAACATTCTTCTGTTAATTTGGGTGTTAGATTAGACATCTAATATTAGTAATTCAAGTCTGTTGTCATAACTCAGTTTAACTGCAGATTCCTGAAGCCTCCTGAAATGAAAAATAGACCAAGAAAATAAGAACTATAATGCTAACAACGAAAAAGTTAAGTTAAAAAATAATTCTGACCATGAAAACATACACAGCTTCTAACTGTTGTGTACTATTTTATTGTTCACCAGACCTAGCTGATCATGAGACAGTGATAAGCAAAGGGAACTAAGAAGTTCTGATTTTTATTTTTAGTGGGATATTTTGGGCATTGATGACTTTGTGGTGTGTTTTTAGTTTTGTGGGTGTTTTCTTGTCTAGCAAATGACAGCAAGTTGAAATCTTTTCCAGCTCATATGACTAAATCTTTCTACATTCTATATCAAATAATTTGGCTGCTTTAGGACACAGACAGCTGTAAAATGAGGATGATAATGATTTGATGTCCGTGAGGACACTAAAACATATTGGTTAAATCAGATAAACATAAACTTGGTTTTTTTAAAGGAAAACAAAACATAATGTATTTTGTGAAATTTTGAAAGGGAAGATTTCACTATAAAAGTTTTTTTTTTTAATAACTAAATAATCCTGGTGGAGATTTTGTTATTAACATAGCAATACACTAGCTAAGCTTTTTAAAAATCATGTACTTTACAAAAGTATTTTGGTAAAGGAAAGTGTCCCATACAACAGTAGGTTGGAATCATTACTTATAAGAAATGCAGAAGGATGTTTTAGAACTAACCATCAGTTTCTCCTTTTCTGACACCTTTAAACCAATAGAATGGTCTGATATATTCCCAATAAGAAAAAAAGGAAAAAATACACTAGGGTATTTTTATAACATTTTTTTCCTTTTGAATTGCAGTTGACCTACCCCTCTACTTTCCTCGAGACCAACCGACCCTAACATTTCAGTCTGTCTACCACTTCACTAACAGTGGCCAGCTGTACTCCCAGGCCCAGAAGAATTACCCCTACAGCCCCCGATGGGATGGCAATGAAATGGCCAAGAGAGCAAAGTAAGTCAGATTGCTGTTTCCTACTAATCCTTCCATTTGTTTCATGGGCTTTGGTGGGTAGAAATTTCATGGATGTAACCGTACATTTTCAGTGTTACAAAAGCTGAACCTATTCTTGTTCTCATCCAGCCCTGGCATTGCTGTAGATGAATGCTTATTGCATTAGTGCCAGGGGACTGAACAAAAGAAGCCCCTTCCTGCTAGGCTTTGTATGGCACAGAGTGTTGACAGTCTCTGCTCTGGAGAACTTCCAGCCTAAGGAGATGAGATAGCCCCCAGCAGGAGTAACCTGCATGGTAGCAGTCAGGCAAAGTAACTCCCTGGGGTTGTGAGAGTGTTGAGGGGACCCTGAAGGGAAGCATGTGAGATGGAGAGAGCAAGGAAGAAAAACCTGAAAGATCTGGAATTAGGCTGTAATGAAAAGGCAAGGAAGAACAGGAGGCAGAGCAAACCACCATTCCAGCATAGGAGGCAGCCCTATCAGATCTTGAGAAGTTTATCTGAAAATCTGAGTATCTCTTGCTTTATTGCTTTTTTGGATGGAAACAGAGAATCCCTGTCTCCTTCCTCTGCATTTTTTCTGCAAGGCCTTGTTTTGGGCTGAGGAGAGATCACTTCAATCTGGGTATTCCTTTAGTTAATGATGACAGGGCAGCCTCACAGAGAGGTTTTGTTGCAAGGGCAAGCTGCCATAGGCAGTGGTGTCCCCAAAGCTAGATATTGTCCCTATCTTCTCATGAAGCAGAGCAGATTTTACCTGAATGGGGAGAGTCAGGCTTGCTGCAGTGTTTTAAATTTGCAAAGTGTAAAAATGTTAGAACAGCAAGAGATTTAAGCAGGCTGATAATCAGTTGTTCAGCATGTAAAAGCATCAAACTGCATAAATCACAATGCGTATTGGGATGAACATTTTGAATGACAGTCAGAAGATTAAATTAAATCAGCAAATATGCATAAAGAAGAGTTGAAACAAAAATAGTTCAAGCTGAGTAAATCAAATGAGTGGCATGGTCAGAGACTATAATTTGGAAATAATGGAAGCAAACAACAATTGACTGATGCATTTGCAGATTTACATACTAATTTAAATTCTATGGAAAACATCAAGTAACATTTGATTTGGGATTTTAATATGCATTGTAATAAAAATTTTTTTGGTAGTATTTGGTTTTGCCACCATACTGTTTATAGGAGCACTATTTCTTAATCAACTATGATTTTTTTGTGTGTATGGACTTTCTTCTATTCTCTAGCAGGATATTATGAGTATTTTGTTTACTAAAAAAAGAAAAAAAAAAGAAACTCAAAAGAAAACAAGAAGAACAATAACTGGAAGCATTACTGTGGCTTTTTTTATGACCATACTACAAAATGCATTTCTTTTGTAGCTGAAAGCTTACAAGTACCTATGTGCTGTCTGCTAAGTGCATTCACTTGTGAGTGGGTGTATACAAATGGACTTCACTGCCCTGCACTTGAAATTTAGAAGTATTACAACAGTTCTCTTTAAAAGCACTAAATGTGTACACTTACTATCACATGTACGTTTGGAGAGGTTATTCACTCTTGCGTTTGAGCCTCTGCATTGAAGTTCTACCCTGGATACGTAATTTGAGCAGGATGATGAGAAGCGGGGGAAGACAGTGCCGAGATGTCTGAAATAGCAATCACTGAGCTGCAGAGACACAGAAGCTGCTCCAGTTAAAAGCGCTTTGCTTGCAGGAACAGCTAGTGATCCCTGAGTAGGTACCATAAATAAATCTGGATCAAGAAAAATATGATGTTATGATACATGTGAGCATATTTTAAGAAAGATTTTTAACACAATTGAGCATCTTATGTAAACAGTTTTTTTAAATATTTGCTAGGGCTTCTTAGAATAAGTTAGTGTGTTTTAACATAACCAAATAACTTCTTAGTCTACTTAATTTTTACCACAGACATGTTATGGACCAAGAATATGGGAATATATATTGATATGTGGGAGAGCATTCTAATGAGATGTATTAATTCAAACAACACATGAAAACTTCCCAAATAAAAACAGAAAAAAAAAATACATTATTTACCCTCTAGAAACAATGTCATTCTACTCTGCTGAAGTAAATTTAGCCCTGGTTAAATCAGAGACAACTTGTTTGTGTTTCTAAATACTGTCAATTAGGTTTTGCTTATATATAGTCTTTTTCCCTCTTAGCAAAATTGTCTCCCAAGTGCTCAGCATTCTTTGAGAAAAAACATCTCTGTTTGTCTTCCTGGCCATTGCTCTAGGGCCAGGATCTCCCACTTGATATTCCAGTATCTGACCAAGTTCTCCACCCTTCTCAGACTTCAGGGATCAGTGTACTCTATCTTCCTCAGTGGGCCTAAAGACACCATCAAGGATAGCTTTTGCTTGCTCTTGCACCAGCTGTAGAAGCATCATCAAGTTTGAAATGGCATCAGTCACAACTTTCCTCATCCTCAGTTTTGGCAAGCCCTGCCTCTGTTTTCAGCAACTCAACACAGCCTGTTTATTCATGGGCCGAGCTGTCATAAGTTCATTCCAAAGGGACTTTGATTCTGTACCCAGCCTTCTCCCAAGGTTGTTTTGGTGTAGGTTGTTGATTTTTTTTTTTCCAAACAGATGAGCCCATCCAGTTCCTTCAGTGCAGGGACTAAACTTGAAAGTCTTGGTATCCTTGCTTATCTCTGTGGCCCCCAGCAGAAGTAGGCATCTCTTTTGAAGTTAGGACTTAACCCTTTGCTGTAGCCTTGAGACAATCGGGAGTAACTATAGGCAGAAGCAAAATTAGTTCTCTTTAGTGCATACATATAAAAGTAGATTGTATGCATTCACACCTAGAGACATATCACCTATATCTAAAAGGCAAATTCTCATATCATAGTATCATTTTAGCTGGATCTTTTTATTCAGGGAGAAAAACTGCCCAGCTTCTTACTGAAGTTATTGGACCAATTCATATCTGTCCATAAAGTCCATGAAGTCAAGCCTCTTTTCTGTGTCCTCTTAGACAGATTTTAAAATCACTGGGTTCCATTGTAGCCTACTGATTTAGATTCCTCACTGAGAGATAGCATCTGGTAACTGAAGCTTGCTATTGTCTTAGCCCAGGGGTTGCCCTCTGGCATTATTTAATTCTGAAGGATGAATCAAGTCCTGATTTAATAATGTGATTTCAATTGCCTCCAGATTGCTTGTTTCTCAGCTAACACAGAATTTTAACCTTTTCCCCCAGCTAGAAAAAGGGAAACCAGTAACATTAAAACTTTCTTACAAGCTGCTGAGATGCCATTTCCTTTCAGTCGGTATCTCAGGCTTTGCCTCTTGTAGGTCATTTATTTATATGTCTGTGGCCTCCTGCGTAAGCAGCTTCTCCAAAAGTTTTGGTCCTAAAATACAATGGCAAGCCTAAGAAAATACAGTAAATTATGGAAAGTTAGCAGCCTTGTTTGTGGTGTACGTGTGAAGTAAAACATCTCTGTGCAGTTTCCATGGGAAAGCTTTCTTGTCTTTTTGCTTAAATAGGCATTCAAGTGTACATAAATGGAGTCTTTAAAAAACGTGCTGACTTGAAGCCTGGGATTTTATGAAGGAATACTGTAAATAAAGCTTGTTTGTTTATACAAATGAAATTCAGTTCTCAGATGCATTCTAACCCAATTTCTGTCTGACCCAGTGCTGCTCTGTAGACTTAGATTATACTTCAGGGGAGAGCAATTTAAAACTCAGTTTATTCTTTTATCCTACATAAATCCACCTACTCATCATTAAAAATATCAGGAGCATGGAAAACTGGTATCACAATAAGAAGTTGTTCCAAGGGTTCATATTCCCTTTTTTTTCCAAGTTGGCTGACAAAACAGGTTTCTGAATGACAGTGTTATCCCTGACCATTCATCGGTGTTTGCTGAATGTGGTGTAAATTTTATATATCTCTTAGGGCATTCAGAGGGTGAAAGCTTCAAAGGGCTCAAGTGTTCTCCACTTTATATTGGCTGTTGCTCTGCCATGAGGTCAAGTGCATCTTCAGATTATATGCAGGTGCATCTTGTGCAAGCCACAGCTGCAGCTTCAGTTTGTGCTCAGCACAAGAGTGCCATGGTTAGGAAGTGCCAGACTGGTGAACTGGTCCATAGCATTTTCAGCCTCAGCCATACCTTTTCCTTGAGTTTCAGCAAATTAGATGATGTCTGTCATGTGTATGAGTGAGGCCCCCACTACAAGAAAGCCCTTGAGGTGCTGGAGCATGTGCAGAGAAGGGCAGTGGAGCTGGTGAAGGGTCTGGAGCACAAATCCTGTGTGCAATGGCTAAGGGTGCCCAGGCTGGAGAAGAGGAGATTCAGGGGTGACCTTATCACTCTCTACAGCTGCCTGGAAGGGGAGTGTAGCCAGGTGGGGATTGGCCTCTTCTCCCAGATAACAAGTGATAGGAGAAGAGGAAATGGCTGCAAGTTGTGCCTGGAGAGCTCTAGTTTGGATATTAAGAATAATTTCTTCCCCAAAAGTGTTGTCAAGCCAGGCTGCCCAGGAGGTGATGAAGTCACCACTCCTACAGGTACTTCAAAGGTCTGTGGATGTGGCACTTAGGACACGGTTTAGGGGTGAGCTTGGCAGTGATGGGTTAATAGTTGGACTCGAACTTAGAGGTGTTTTCCAGCCTTAACAGTTCTGTGATTCTATGATTACATTTACAGATTACAATATTGCATGTCTTAGTCTAATAAAAGGATATTTGAAAATAAAAAGGGACAGTTGTGTTGCTGTTTAGACATATCAGTTGTAGTATGTCAAAGACTTGCTGTTCTATTCAGTTAATTTTGTGTGCCCTGATGATTTTTTTTGTTAATTTGAAATTAGCCAGTTTTGACTCATCCATTTTTTAATTATTATTCAGATTTCTTTCACATTTTAGGCAGAATATCTATTACTATATTTCAAATTCTTTAAAAATAACAACTTGCACAATTTTCATGAAACTTTTGAGATCCAGCTATGC